GGACGGTACCTCTCGGGCAGAAAGTCGGGGTCCTCGGAGGTAGAGTCGGGATCGAATCATCCCGGCACCTGGGAAACCCCCACCGTGAGGAGAAGTCCGCCATTTCAAGAATCTGTCAAAAAGGGAGCAAAAATGAACAAAATGCGCAAAAATTGGATCAAAAAAGTCAACTCTTCGGAAATAAAAAGTCAACAAAAGTCAACTCCCGAGAAAATATTCTAATATTAAGATGAACTTACCTCAATGGTGAAAATGCAAAAAGAAGCTTCAACGGAATTTATCGCTCCAAAGTGTAAAACTAAGTGTTTTTACGAAAACAATTTGCGCGAGGTTGGAAAACGCGCGTAAAACTCAAAACTGGAGAGAAAAGTGTTGAAAGAGACAAGAAATGAAATGGGGTTCGGCTGCTATTTATAGGCTTCAAGCCTTGGATGAAAGGCATGCAAAAAGAGGCAAAAAGACCGAAATACCCTCGGAAAAGGGCATGGCCGGCCGGCCCCTGTTTCTAGCTGGCCAGCCATCTGCTTTTTGCAGAAATGGCCGGCCAGCCATTAGCTTTTGTGGAAACGCGGTGGACACCCCCCCTTGGAAGATAAGTGGCGGCCATGCTCCCCACATGCTCACCTAGCTCTCTGCAAATTTTGAGGAAGATCGGAGTTCCCGGGACCTGAAAAAGTTCAAGAAAAGTACATTCCGGTCGCGAAATTGCTCCGTCGGGGACTTCCGTTTCAAGTCTGACATGTGTCTCATCATCATTCATCAAAAATCAAAGTGTTAATCCTTTGTGAATGAGTTGTAACCTTTCAAAGGAAGCAGATCGGAGGCCTGATCGAGTTACCTTCGCCGAAACACGCGTTTCCGTACTCGTTGTTTCACGACGAATGAACACCCTGATTCATACTCGTTTTGTACTTTCATGCACATATCTTGCATTCCAGGGCATACTCACATTGTCATGTACATTCTTGTTATTTGTTATACCTCTGTGTTTGGAGCATGCGTTGCGCGCATTTCCACTCTTGCATTGCGATGCATACAACTCACCGACGCCGCGTTGTGTCGAAACTTTCGGAATCGCGTAAATATTTTGTTGTTAGCATATTGTACTTGTTTGCAATTCTCTCTCTTTTGCAGGCACGATATTGTATGTACGGTTCAATTGAGGCTGGTGCGACCAGACGAATCGCAGGTATCGTATCTTCCTCCGTGAGACTGGCGGAGATTGAATAATCCTCCGCATCTTAACTGCATGAAATGTAGTTGTTTGCTTTGCATCCTTGCTTAAAACTGTTGCATCATTTGCGAATACTTGCTTCATTACAGCTTGCTGCATTTGCATCATTGGGTTACCTTCGGTTCTTGCATATCATTTGCATTTTGGCCCCTCCTGCGGGCTGCCTGCGGGCACATCTCTGTTTATCTTGTATGTTTGTCTAAGTCTTCGGCCTTGTCAAAAATGGCGTCTCTTGGGCTTTGGACATTCACTCCGTCACTTGTGACTTCCGAGTTCTTGTCAAAGAGGGCAACTGTAGACACCCCATTTTGACCGACCCTAAGACTCAGCGTCACCGATTGAGCGCTTGGTGATATTGCATAATGCTGCTTGTTCAGAAGATTCAGAGTTGCGGCCGTGAGGCCCTACCTCCGGACTCCCGAACCCTTTTCTGTGCCTTGTCTCGGTTTGCGAACCAGACTCGGTTTCTCTGTTTCTTTTCCTGAAGGGAGGGAGAGGTCCCGTAGACCATCTCTCATTCCGTAGGCTACATTTGGTGGCCGTAGGCCTATTTCCCATTTCGGAGTCCGTTCCCGGTTTCGGAGCCGTCAGGGCCGTGTGCCTCGGTTCGGGACCGCTTTACCATTCTCCTATTGCTCTGATTTTTGGCATACATCTTATTTCATCCATTGAGGGACACTGGGGGCTGAGAAACCCACTTCGAGGTTCAATACAATTTTCGGTGCTTAACAGCCCATTTCCGGACCCCGAACTGCGTGTTTTGGCTCCGAACATTCGTTTTCAACGGTTTCGTCTATTTTGGCAGGTACCTTCTGTTTTATCCGAGGAAGGTCACTGAAGGGGGGGGGCGGGAGCCAGCAATTGTTCAGCAACCAGTTATCTCTCCTCCGAGCCTCCCGGGCCCGTTTTTTCGCACTTCCGGGCTAATGTTGAATACCTTGGAGCTAGCGTTGCCAACTTTCAACCACATATCTGTGATCTACACACCTGGGAGGCCACTAAAAGTTCATGGCCGGCCATTAAGGTCACTGACCCTTTTGACCCTTTTCTTCCGGGCTAATGTTGAACCCCTTGGACCTTTTTTTTTCTTGAACTTTGAACCACATATCTGTGATTACACACTGGAGAGCCACTAAAAGGTCATGGCGCGCCAGGTAAGTCAAACTTGACCCTTTTGACCCCCTCTTTCCGAGCCATTTGTTGAACCCCTTGGGCCCACTTTCTTGGAATTTCAATTACATGGTTGTGTTGTACACACAATAGGGCTACCTCCCCAAACCTGGCCGGCCAGAAAATCTGGTTGACCCTTTTGACCCCTAGCCGCGGCTAGGGGTGTGGCGGCCGCGCCACCTCCGGCCAAAGTGAGCGGCCGGCCGTGCTCTCCTCACTGTGCCCTTTCCAGCTGTGGGGCAAATCCCCCAGATATTTTTCTATCCGGGGATATTTGTAGGGTGGAGAGTTTCCTGGTCCATTTGATTCCCCCTTTTACCCCTTTCTTGACCTATATAACCAGCTGAGGGTCTTCTTTAAGAGGTTAGAAAAATTCTCTCCAAGCACAACACCTAAACCCATTTGTCTTCTTCTTCAAACTTCAAAAAACCCTAACTCTTAACCTTCATTCCTTCTACACCACCAAGCCTCTACCACCACCATCTCATTTCCAGCAGCATAGAGGGATTCTTGAAGGCTAAAGAAGCTGCAAATCCACCAAGAAGCAACCAAAAGCTTGATCTTCAAGGGTAAGTTACACTTTGATCCTTTTGGACCCTTTTTCTTATCATTTTAAGCCATCATCTTTTTGGTCAAGCTTCGGCCCTAACTGAAAAGGGCCATTATTTTGAGCTCATCGTTCACTTCTCATAAGGGCTCAACCCTGTTTGAGCCCTCATAATACACTTGCTTCTTGACCATCTTGTATTCATAATTTTGCGATGCTATTTTTTGACCCATGAGAATTTATTTTCGAGCATGTGTAAACTGATTAGGGCTTATTTTGAGCCCCTCTCAACATTGGAGAAGGGCTCAACATTGTTTTGGTGTTTCCATGATGTCACTTACGCAGCCCAGTAGATAGTGATTTGCATGTAGCTTATTTTACTTCATCGGCACACAGCCCATTTCATCTTATTGGCACACAGCCCATTTATATCATTGTATTACAGCCCATTTATTTCATTATTGACACATATTTCATTCTGAATGCAGGGTGGTTCCCGCAGTGTGCGAGGATATGGTTCCACCATGGCGCGGGATTGGTATGCTGAGCTCCGCGAGGGCGTCAGGATTGGTAGACTTGGCAGGGTTTGGGCCTTCTGGCGGGTTGTCACGCTGTCTGCCAGGAGGACCTTGATGGCAGCTCTTGGTAGAGAGATGGTGGGACACCACCAATTCCTTTCATTTCTCTGCCACCGGGGACATGACCATGACCCCTTTTGACTTTGCTGTATTGACCGGCCTTGATGTCGGAGGTTTGGCCATCCCTATGACGAGGATATGGGCGAGTGGGAGGCCGCCTGGATGTATTTGTTGGGGGCTCGCACCTGTTGATAGGTCTCAGGGAGAGTCAGGTATACTTGTTTCCCTCCATTTCCGGCGGGCGGAGATGGTGCCCGAGACTCCTGAGGAGACAGAGCAGTATGCTCGTGGCTTCCTGATGTTCCTCTTCGGACTACCCTGTTCGCCGACAGAGGGAACACCATTGGGCATAATCTGCTGAGCGCTCTAGTGACCTATCACAGGTCAGTAGATATGATTGGGTGGCGCTGGCCTGGCTACCCTCTACTTTTACATGAGCGCGACCTCCCGCGGGCGGGGCGGATTTGCTTGCGGCTACCGGAGAGCTTGGGAGGTATTTTCTGTCCCCTCGATTTACATTTCTGCTCTTCATTACTTGTACATTGCACACACAGCGTACTTTTACAGTCTGCATTTTTCTCTCAGCATTTCGTACTTACATTCTGCACTGCTTTCTCAGTTATGGGCTTATGTATACTTTCCCATCGTTAGCCCCAGTGCTGGAGGTGGTGGGGATTCCCGTGACCCCATTTATCATGATATTTGAGGGCCCGCACCGGGCGAGGCCTCGAGAGACCTGGTTCGCCTGCGACAGTACTCGACACTTGCGACATCAGAGGTACTTCAGAACTTTCAGTTCTTTCATTTTTCATCTTTGACTTGCTCTGTATATTCTCGTTCTCTGATTGGTTTATACATTTATCATCCGCAGATTCTTGGCAGCCTGGGCACCTCTGTGATGATCTCCTACTTCAGTATACCGGAGCTCAGGCATCTCCGGTATAGGGTCCTGCTCGAAGGGCCAGTCGGCAGAGTCTGGTTCCTGGGGGAGCGCTTTCTGTGCCAGGTACGGGGGTATCTTTCTCAGGATGTTCCCGCGGTACCTCCAGCTAGTATGCGGACCGCTGACAGGCTCTCTTACTCAGAGGTAGTCGGCGCCATGTTGGGCAGTATGCTTTGTTATATGTTGCGGAGGGGGACTACGCCACCTATCGTCACATATATTTGATGCCTCCATTGACAGAAGCTCGTATTCCGATGATGAGACCTGCCGGTATGTCATCCTCGGATCAGGCTCAGGCTCGGCTACAGACATCCCTTCTTCTAGCAGGGCTGGCGCATTAGAGGTGGGAGTAGACCGTTTCCTCCGAACCCGTCGATTCATCCTCATCTGGGATGGCCAGATATGCCTACTGAGTTGATGGCGTGGCAGTATGGGACTAGCTCTCCGATTCCGATTCCACTAGAGCCTCCGATGCCCAGTGATCGATAGCCATTGATCCGGACTCACCGCCGGTATGCTCCACTTCGTCATTCATCATTTCAGATGTTTAGAACTCATTTGTTTCACTGATGATTATGAACTCATTTTTGCAGCCATCGCGAGGGTACATGGAGGAGATGGTTGAGCTGGTGGCCACACTCGAGGGCATGGTCCTACGCAGGGAGGCACAGTTGTCTGTTGCGGGCATTCAGGTACCTTCAGTTTTTTGGCATTTATCATACTTCTGATGACATGCTGATTTCTACTGCATCGATAGACTACTTGTGTAGAGCACATCTGACACACACCTCACTTGTACACTGTATTTAATGCACCCACTTTACGTAGCTTTTGCTTGTATCTGCATCTGATGTATATATTTTGGACTGATGTATTTGAATTGAACTCTTTTTTTCAGATGCCTTCATGGTCCGGTCAGCCACAGACCAGGCCACCTGGGCCTCATTGGGGAGCTGGCCATCTGGCCTTATCAGGGAGCTGGGCCATCCGGGCTTATCAGGGGGGGTCATCTCGGCCTTCCCGAGGAGCCGGGCCATCTAGGCCTTTTCGAGGAGCTCGAGGGGGGCCTGTCCGCAGACGCAGGGCTCATTGTGGGAGTGGAGTCTGATGAGGAGGAGGAGGAGGCCACCGACGTCAGTTCGAGACATCTGTCGAGGAGGGAGGCTCCGGTTTTGGCTCGGGGAACAGAGGCGAGGCTGAGGAGGATCCTGAGGACGACAGCTCCGACTCTGATGATGGTGTGGAGGTTGTCCCACAAAGAGGACCAGGCGTGCTTCTCGTTCCCGTTCCCGAGGATTTTGATGTTGCTATTTCCTGCTTTATTTTCTTTTACTTAGTAGTTTGTAGCACTTTGCACATTGTTAGGCAGTTTTGTTTTTGTAAAACCTGTACCTTTTGTTTGTTGTAAAGCATGATGAAATGAAATAGCTTTTGAAAAGGTGTTTGTATTTTGAACTTTTAGCATCGTATCGCATCAATTTTTTCGCACAAAAATGAATTTGAAAGGTAATGTTACGTCGTGTATGAACCGACGTAAACACTAAAACACTCAACCTTACTAAGATATAACAGAATCTTTAGCAAGTTTACAACTCGATAAGCAAAATGCAACAACGCAAAAAACAAGACTTTAACAAAATTGCTTAAACAGAGAGCAATGACTCAAAACACAAAACACGTCCGCTCGACAAACAACTCGATAAGAAAAATGCAACAACTCGATAAGCAAAACTCAACAACAACAAAGTGTACTTCTGAGATCTGGGCAGTCGGACGCATCCGGAATGAAGGCCTTCGACTTCCCGTTGCAGGAAATGCTTGGAGTTCTCTTCGAAGAGTAAAACAGGGCCGAGGAGACACACTACAGCATTGCTAGCCATCCTGGGAGCTGGCCGGCCATTTTGCAAAAGTGAATGCTGGCCAGCAGAGATATGCCACGGCATGGAGGACTAGAGAGCTTTTGGCCCCCCTGCTTCAACCTTCAGTTGCACTTTGTCAGATGAATGCTGGATTTGGCTCAAGGAGGTACAATTTGGCCCAGCTTGGCATCAGATGCTCGTCCAGCTCTGGAAGGGGACACAGAGATACTTGATTCAACTATGCCCAAATTTATGCTTATTTAGCATTTTCAAGTTTTCTTTATGACTGTACTAAAATAAGCAACCTCGATTGTAATGCAAGAGCAGAGAACTCTATTTTGAAATCAATGAAATTGAAAGTTATGGTACTGAAAATTTTCCACTTTTGGTCCAAAAATAGTTTTTTGAAAAGTTTTAAATTAAAAGTGACTTTGTTCAAACAACTTTTTTACGACTTTTAGACCATTGTTTGGACCAAAAGTGAAAATTTTCAGTACCATAACTTCAATTTCATTGATTTCAAAATAGAGTTCTCCTGCTCTTGCATTACAATCGAGGTTGCTTATTTTAGTACATTCATAAAGAAAACTTGAAAATGCTAAATAAGCAATAAATTTGGGGCATAGTCGAATTAAGTATCTCTGTGTCCCCTTCCAGAGCTGGACGGAGCATTTGATGCCAAGCTGGGCCCAACTTATACCTCCTCTTTGAGCCAATCCACGCATTCGTCTGACAAAGTACAACTGAAGGTTGAAGCAGGGGCCAGAAGCTCTCTAGTCCTCCATGCCGTGGCATATCTCTGGCTGGCCAGCCATTCACTTTTTGCAAAAATGGCCGGCCAGCTCCCAGGGATGGTTGGCAATGCTGCAGTGTGTCTCCTCGGCCCTGTTTTGCTCTTCAAAGGAGAACTCTAAGCATTTCCATGCAACGGGAGAGTCGAAGGCCTTCATCTCAGACGCGTTCCGATGCCCAGATCGTCAGGAGTACACTTTGTTGTTATTGAGTTTTGCTTATCGAGTTGTTGCATTTTGCTTATCGAGTTGTTCGTCGAGCGGACGTGTTTTATGTTTTGAGTCATTGCTCTCTGTTTAAGCAATTTTTGTTAAAGTATTGTTTGTTTGCGTTGTTGCTTTTTGCTTATCGAGTTGTAAACTTACTAAAGATTCTGTTATATCTTAGTAGGTTGAGTTGTTTAGTCTGTTGCGTCGGTTCACTACCTGATTTGGTGATTACAATGCGCATTACCATTCAATTTCATTCTTATGCGAAACAAATTGATGCGATATGATGCTAAAAGTTCAAAATACAAACACCTTTCCAAAAGCTATTTCATTTCATCATGCTTTACAACAAATAAAGGTACAAGTTTTACAAAAATAAAACTGCCTAACAATGTGCATAGTGCTACAAACTACTAAGTAAAAGAAAAATAAAGCATGGAAATAGCAGCATCAAAATCCTCGGGAGCGGGAACGAGAAGCACGCCTAGTCCTCTTTTGCGGGACAACCTCCACACCATCATCAGAGTCGGAGCTGTCATCCTCAGGATCCTTCTCAGTCTCGCCTCTGTTCCCCGAGCCGAAACCGGAGCCTCCCTCCTCAACAGATGTCTCGAACTGACGGTCGGTAGCCTCCTCCTCCTCCTCCTCCTCCTCATCAGGCTCCACCTCCACAACATGAGCTCTGCGTCTGCGGACAGGCCCTCCTCGAGCTCCTCGATAAGGCCTAGATGGCCCGGCTCCTCGGGAAGGCCGAGATGGCCCCTCCTCGGGAAGGCCGAGATGACCCCGCCCCCTGAAAAGGCTCAGATGGCCCAGCTCCCCAATGAGGCCCAGGTGGCCTGGCCTGCGGCTGACCGGACCATGTAGGCATCTGGAAACAAGGAGTTCAAATCAAATACATCAGTCCAAACATGTACATCGGATACAGATATAAGCAAAGGCTACATGAAGTGGGTGCATGTAAATACAGTGTACAAGTGAGGTGTGTGTCAGATGTGCTCTACACAAGTAGTCTATCAATGCAGTAGAAATCAGCATGTCATCAGAAGTATGATAAATGCCAAAAAACTGAAGGGTACCTGAATGCCCGCAACAGACAACTGTGCCTCCCTGCGTAGGACCATGCCCTCGAGTGTGGCCACCAGCTCAACCATCTCCTCCATGTACCCTCGCGATGGCTGCAAAAATGAGTTCATAATCATCAGTGAACAAATGAGTATCTAAACATCTGAAATGATGAATGACGAAAGTGGAGCGTACCGGCGGTGAGTCCGGATCAATGGCGTATCGATCACTGGGCATCAGAGGCTCTAGCGGAATCGGAATCGGAGAGCTAGCCCCGTACTGCCACGCCATCAACTCAGTGGGCATATCTGGCCATCCGACATGAGGATGAATCGACGGAGCCGGGGGAGTTGGTCTACTCCCACCTCTAGATGTGCCAGCCCGGCTAGAAGAAGGGATGTCTGTAGCTCGAGCCCGAGCCTGGTCCGAGGATGACATACCGGCAGGTCTCATCATCGGAATACGAGCTTCTGTCAATGGAGGCATCAAATAAATGTGACGATAGGTGGCGTAGTCCCCCTCTGCAACATACAGCAAAGCATCGCTGCCCAGCATGGCGCCGACTACCTCTGAGTAAGAGAGCCTCAGCGGTCCGCATACTAGCTGGAGGTACTGCGGGAACATCCTGGGAAAGATACCCCCGTACCTGGCATAGAAAGCGCTCCCCCAGGAACCAGACTCTGCCGACTGGCCCTTCGAGCAGGACCCTATACCGGGAGATGCCTGATGCTCCGGTATACTGAAGTAGGAGATCATCACCCAGGGGTGCCCAAGGCTGCCAAGTAATCTGCGGATGATAAATGTATAAACCAATCAGAAAATGAGGATATACAGAGCAAGTCAAAGATGAAAATGAAAAGAACTGAAAGTTCTGAAGTACCTCTGAGTGTCGCACAGTGTCGAAGTACTGTCGCAGGCGAACCAGGGTCTCTCGAGGCCTCGCCCGGTGCGGGCCCTCAAATATCAATGAATATGGGGTCACGGGAATCCCCACCACCTCCAGCACTGGGGCTAACGATGGGAAGTATACATAAACCCATAGCTGAGAAAAGTAGTGCAGAATGTGAGTACGAAATGCTGAGAGCAAAATGCAGGCTGTAAAAGTGCGCTGTATGTGCAATGTACAAGTAATGAAGAGCAGAAATGTAAATCAAAGAGACAGGAAGTACCTCCCAAGCTCTCCAGTAGCCGCCAAGCAAATCGCCCCGCCCGCGGGAGGTCGCGCTCATATAAAAGTAGAGGGTAGCCAGGCCAGCGCCACCCCAATCATATCTACTGACCTGTGATAGGTCGACTAGAGCGCTCAGCAGATATAGCCCAATGGTGTTCCCTCTGTCGGCGAACAGGGTAGTCCCGAAGAGGAACATCAGGAAGCCACGAGCATACTGCTCTGTCTCCTCAAGAGTCTCGGGCACCATCTCAGCCCGCCGGAAATAGGAGGAGAACCAAGTGTATCTGACTCTCCCTGAAACCCTATCAACAGGTGGGCGAGCCCCCAACAAATACATCCAGGCGGCCTCCCACTCGCCCATATCCTCGTCATAGGGGATGGCCCAACCTCCTACATCAAGGCCGGTCAATACAGCAAAGTCAAAAGGGGTCATGGTCATGTCCCCGGTGGCAGAGAAATGAAAGGAATTGGTGGTGTCCCACCATCTCTCTACCAAAGCTGCCATCAAGGTCCTCCTGGCAGGACAGCGTGACAACCCGGCGCAGAAGGGCCCAAACCCTGCCAAGTCTACCAAATCCCTGACGCCCTCCGGGAGCTCAGCATACCAATCCCGCGCCATGGTGGAACCATATCCTCGCACACTGCGGGAACCACCCTGCATTCGGAATGAATATATGTGTCAATAATGAAGTAAATGGGCTGTATGCCAATGATAATGAAATGGGCTGTATGCCAATGATAATGAAATGGGCTGTGTGCCGAAGAAATGAAACGAGCTGTGTGCCGATGAAATGAAATGGGCTGTGTGCCGATGAAATGAACTGGGCTGCGTGCCAATGGAATGGGATCGGCTATGTACCGACGAAGTGAAATAAGCTGCATACAAATAAAATGAAGTAGTCGTGTGTTCAGAAGCGAAGTATACGGACTGTGTGTTCAGTATAATCAACTCTCAACTACTGTGGGCT